TCTGTCCAGCCGCTGCTCCCTGGCGGCCAGGCTCGATGGAGGTGCAGCTGGTGATGGTTCGTGAGAGGGTCTCGGTGCAGGGCCACTGGGCAGGGCTGGCCCTGGCCGCCGTGAGGCGGACGCTGCCCCGCCCAGAGCCGGCTCGGCTGGCTCGGACTCAGGGCTCCCGGGTCTTTGAGGCTCCCTGACCCGGCCAGCCCCGGCCCGGCAGCACCGTGAACACACACTCGCGTGCCCGTCACACTGGCAGCAGCCGCTCAGGGCCCCAGAACGACCGCCGGCCACGGCCAGTGTTCCTGCTCTCAGCTAGTTGTCAAGATGCGCCTCGAAGGTCTCTGGAAGCCCCAGGGCACGGCAGCAGGGGCCGACTCACGCCCCCCCACGGCAGGGCGAGGCCTTCCGGCCACAGGGGAGGCGAGAGCGGTGCGGGGGCGCAGGAGGCCAGGGACAGGCCCGCGAGGGGCAGGAAAAGAACCACAGGAGAAGGCTCCGCTGAGGGAAAGCACGTTTATTTAGCGGTGAACAGGGAGGCTTGACTAGTTCCCTTGCCAACCAGGGCAGGCCACTTCCGGGGGCGAGCAGGGCGCGGACTGGCTAAGCTCCCCCAGCTCCCTGCGGGCCCTGCTGGCGCGGCAGGGGAGGCTCGGGAGGGAGAACGCGGAGGAGGCGAAGAGGAGCCTGACACGCCCAGCGACACCCCTCTACCCCGTGAGCTCTGTGCAGGGCGGGCGGGGGGGCGCGACAGCTTGTCCAGCCTCAGCGGGTGATTTAAGACGCAGCAAAACATGGCACCGGTGAGGCAGCACTGGGGTCTCCTTACCCCGGCTCAGCCAGCGGGGTGCCGACGGAGACCTCCCAGAACTGCGAGTGGGGCAGGCGCCCCAGCCGACCAGCGGCTGAGGTCAGGGGCAGGAAGGCAGCTCCGCCGGCCCCAGCCGGGAGGAGAACTCACCGGAACAGTGGGCCGGCGGGCGCAGGGAGGGGCCTTGAGGTGTGACCGGCGTGTGGCACTGACCCCAAACTCCATGCCTGGGAAAGTGGGCCCCGCCCGTCCCCACCTCGCCTCAGATCTTGCACTGGCAGCAGACGGGGGCACCGCAGCTACACTGGGCGCAGCTGGACTGGCAGCCGCTGGACTGGCAGCAGACGGGGACGCAGCAGCTGGACTGGCAGCAAGAAGGGACACAGCAGCTGGACTGGGCGCAGCTGGGCTTGCAGCTGCTGGACGGGCAACAGATGGGCATCTTGCACTGGCAGCAGACGGGGGCACCGCAGCTGCACTGGGCACAACTGGGCTTGCAGCCGCTGGACTGGCAGCAGA